AAATAGTCAACACTCGGAATGAAACATCTTTCCTAGAAGATTTTACTTCAGTGTGTCGAATATCATCTTTGAAAATATTAAACACAATAGCTTCTAGATGAAGAGCATCAACAATTGCTTTCAACATTATATGATCACTCCATTCTGTCGGGTTCGACATTCTTGTAAGGTATTCTACCCAGGTTTCAGTACTAAGGAATGATTTTATTGGACAACCATCTTCCTGCCGAGGATGGTCTCTTAAATACCTTAAAGGAGACAACAAATAAAAACATTTCAAAATCATCAATAATATTGGATGTGTAATTCAACACTCATCTTAATATTAGATAATGAATACATGCGTCTAATGTGAGTGTAGCAATAACATTACAAAATTATTTACATTAACTTTGTAAGTATATAAAGGTATAGCTAAGATTTCTCTTACTCAACAGCCATGTGTCTAAGGGTGTCCGCTGTATGTCCAAAATGACCATTTATTGTTAGCTGGTCAGCAATTGATCGGAACATACAGCTGCCATCGGTTTTCCCAATGCAGACCTCAAAATCATTATCAGCTGCAAATTTCCGGATTGATCTCATGAAAACCGGCATATTCATGTATTGCTCAACACCTTGGCCTAAGAAGTTATAATTTTGTAACAATTGAAATAACGCTAAGGTTCAAATCAAAGCAGTGTTATATCAATTTTCATGGGTTTTGAGCTAATGTAGCACAGAAATCTGTTGCTGACAGTATTAATTTTGATTGCCTTGATCGAAACCCACTTACTGTATCTGCCATCAGCGTGTGATGTATTGTAGTGGCCATATCCTTCGTATGCGAATTGACCTTTGTCGTCCCTCATTAGACGTCTATTACAGGACAACTGGTATTCGTCATCACTATCAAAGTAGTCTGTAGCATCGCCTTCATCGTCAGAGAGATCATCACCTTCCTTCGACGAATCATGAGATTTTTGTAATTCTTCTTGTCTAAGGTACACTTGGTTGGATTCATCAGAAAATTGTGCATAATTTGTTTCAGACACTTTATCTTCTTGCGATTTGAATGGATCATTTTCGAAGAATTCTGCTTCTTTTAAATTATTTCTAAGAACCTCTTCATCATTATCAATTTCTTCTTTTTCTTCATATGTTCTCTTTGCCCAAATGTCATTTAAGAACCTGCATGATTTTTCGGTCGATTTTTCAAACAAATTGGCAACACACAGTGTAACAGAAGAATTTTGTACATTATCTTTGTCAGATCCATCCATTCTTTTTCCTTCACTTCATTGCAAAAATATGTTCAAAATATCTTTACTGATAAAGGCAAATTTCCTTTTCAAAAAAAAAGGACGGAAACAAAAAAGTCTGTGGCGTTATTTATATAAATTCTAGTTTCCTCCTTTGTCTATATTTTTAGTTAAGGATGGAGTCTTTCAGTTTTTCAACCAAATCGAGAATTGAAAATAGATCTCGTTTCATTTTAGTCGCTTCAATCAATACACAGTTAAGACCTTGCCCTCTTCCCTTACATGTACAGTTGTATCATTTGATAATCGGAATATCCATGTAAATCTATTTTAAAAAGGAATCATGGTTGTCTTAGATTGTGGTCTAATAAAAGTCTTCGCTATTTATTAAATAATACAACTGTTACTTTTTGTATCTTGTATATTTTTTTAAGTATATCTTTTAAGTTATAAAAGATTTATGCAATATAGGACATGCGCGTTGCACAATTTTCTCTCTAGAAGGTTCTTTTATATTAGACATTGTGGATACTCCATTTCTTTACTTATTCCTGCTAAAAATGATTATTTTTTGAATGCTCTATTATCCGCATATGTCAAAAAATTCCTCCAAATATAAAAAAAAAATTCTTTAAAAAAAGAAGGTGTTTCCCAATATAAGTGGAGTGCAAATTATATCCTTAAATTAAAAAAAATTTAAATTAACAGAAATTTCGGGTAAAATTACTTGTTTGTGTGCTTTACACCTATACAAGAGTACTTCACTTTTGGAAGGCTGCAAATTCAGAACCTGTATAATCCACACTTATGGTTATTACACAGCGAGGAAACGTTTTGCCAGTGCTGTATATGATTTACATGTATATATTTGCATCGATTAACGCGGTCTCTTTCAATTGTCCCGCAAAGAGATTCGATACCGCAACGTAAGGACTAACTCCTTACATCGCGAATCTAGAACGAGACGGCACCTTTGATCAAACCACTGCCACAAAAATAAAACATTTCGATTATACGTTATCTGATAAGACTACATTAGTTATTGATAATGAAATTCAGTATTTTCAAAAAGACTGTTTCGAAGTAAAAAATGAATATATATTTTCTTGTTAAACATAAATACACGCAAAAACTCTTTTTTAAGAACTCTGGTTGCTTTAAGCACTATTTCCCCCAACTAATCCCCTATCTTGTTGTTGTGAAATGGAAGATGGATAATTTCCCGCGCTTAATTTCTCTTTGTTTCTTGCCAGACGAATATCATAACAAAATCTATCAATCTGAAGATCAGTATTTCTTGTCTCTATATCCATTCCTCAGCTTTTTTTTTCAATCCGTAACATGTCGCCTTTGTCACCTCAGACGAAGAAGGCGAAACTTTCGATTCTCTATCTATATTATCATGATGAAGCAGCCTTGGATTGTCTTCGTCTATAAATAGTTCCTAAGACGCGTTTAGATGACTGACACTACTACAGCGGCTACGAAATTGTCCATGATGGTACTCTTTATAACTTGAAGGTCGGGATCTCGGCACAGATCGCCAACCCAAACTCATATCTACCCATCTTGAGTGAGATTTCCAGATGACTGAGATACTGTCTTACAGCTCTGATGTCAATGTGACCTCCACCTTTTTATCGAGAAAAGAAAAAAAAAATATTATCGAGCAGCCTACTTGTTGATTCCATCTTTCAAAATGAAGCTAAAGATTACAGGTTGTTACATGTATCACACAATTAGCATGTGACTTCTACGTTATTCTCTGATGCAAATTTTATTTAAAAGAAGTCCAATGACTTACTTTACTAAGTACAGTCAGAGTGCGTGAAACTTTTTTTTAGAAATGCTTACCCATTAAAGATATAGGGGGAAATGGATTAAAAATCAAAATATCTAAATTCGGCAACAAAATTTACAATGTAAATACAAATGTAACGTCGCCGTAGCGTTCAAAGAGGGATAACTCTAAATTTTCAATCCTCGAAATAAAATACTCTTAAGTTCGTTTAAAAGTTTTTTTTACACTATTTACACATAATATTAAAATCACAACAACATCCAAGAATAACACATAAATTTTCCACAACATTTTCACAATATGTTAAACGTATATCCTATATGTCAACTCCTTTACTTCTCTACTACCAGTCTCTCTGTCTGAAAATATCCCCCCCCCCCCTATATATATCATTGGGGCATTGCTCGCGAGGAGCAATGCGTTTTGACCATTACATAATAATTTAGCATTGCTCGCGAGAAGCAATGTTATGTAAACAACTGACTATCTAAATATATAATAACGGAATCAAATATAACAAACATAATGAAATAATTAAATATCGTTACACAAACTTCCCTGTATGCAAAAATCATGACTCATTGCAAATTCTTTTTCTAAGACTTGTCAAATTTACATACTGATTTTCAATTAGATATTATAGTTCATCAAACGTTGGTTAAAAGGAATAACATCAAAGAATTTCGCAAATTATAATGGAACAGTAACAAAACAGTGAGGTAAATAAAAATGCTTATTTTGGAAGGTAATACTGTAAGTGAAATTTAACTCAAGTCCGATGATGAGAAACCAAGCAAAAATCACTTTTATCAAGGATAATAACGGACAAAAATTCACCTCTGAAATACAAATCTTTGATATCAACATTGCCATTCAGAGTCAAGGATTCAATAAAATAAAAGTATTTGACATGTACACTTAAACAATGAATGCTTTGACAGCAAGTTCTTACTAAACTAATGGTAATGTATGTTAGTTGCCATCGTCACAACGGGCAGACACAGAATGCAAGTATGTGGATGAGGAAAATTCTCTGTTTCTTAATATGCATGTAGGACAAGACCAATTACATATGTCAAACTACAGTGTGATGCCCTGAATAAAATGTAGGGACAATCTAATAGATTCTGAGTAATATTATAGTTCGTGTCGACTGTATCAAGCGATTGTGCCAAGCATTAAAATATGTTGGATTAAAAATACCGTATCTGAAATTTGCTTTAGCAATCTGCATTTATTTCAGATTATAATAGTTTGTTATTATATATAACAGCTTCTGTTAAAAAGTGAATTCGCAGGATACTATTTTGGGCTTTAGAAACACTACATCAAAGTTTCCATAAAAATTTTAGGGTATGAGTGGTTTTCTCAACAAACAAAAAAAAATCATATACGAGGTGTTGATATTTCACGATTTTTGATATTTTCACTCATGCTTCGCACGAGTGAAAATATAAAAAAATCCTGTCCCGCTCGTGAAATAAATTCCATATCCAATTACAAAATATTGAATATCCTCAATTTACATTATATAAGATTTTCAAGAAACTTCCGAAGTAATGAATAAGGCTAATAAGAGAGAAAAATCATTCTGAATGGAAGTCGTATTGAAATACAATTACGTAATCTATCAGAAGCAATTTCAAGCATACTCAAAAAAGGGAATTAAAGGGAAAGAATTCAAACTGAAATGGAGTTGTTACTGTGTCTGACTTGATAGGATATGGTCATGGTGCTGTAGTGGTAACAGAGTGTGGAGGAATACATCGCCTCTCCTACACAAGACCTTCATCAGAATTACCATTAGGGCCACAAGGAATCTGTACAGACCTACTGTCACACATCCTTGTGTGTGATGTTATAATAAAACACCGTACATATGACTGACAAACACGGTCAATTCCTGTCACTGATAGGGACACAACAACAAGCCACAGACGAACCATATAGCTTGAGTTATGACGACAAGCCTCAAACTGTCTGGATTGGATCATTCTACAACAACAAAGTATGTGTATACAGATATAAAGGGAGACAGGACTACCTTACCTAAAATTGTAATTAGTTAATTAGATACATTTTTAGTTAAATATAAACGAAACTACCTGACATATAATTTTAAGATGATGATAAAAAAAGGCATAAAGACGCAGAATTACTAGTATATGGCAGGTAATAGTAATTATCTGATTAGAAACTTGTATGTATACATACATGCAAACACAGGACTCTCCGACGTGTAATTTTTATCATTTAATAATTATGCAAATTGTCAACATGTGCACGGGTAATATCGTCGAACAATGTGAGTAGCGGTTAGTGAAACTGATACTCGGTTACCAGGATAAATATAATTTTATAGGTTAAATGAAGTGAAATGGGTTTTTTTATTATTTATAAATGAAAACTAACATTTATATACCGTTTTTTAACATTGGAGTTGATCTAACGTTTCACAAATACGTTCGATTTTTTTATTACACTTAATTTTTACATTTAATCTAAATGACTTTGATCACCAAGGGTATGGTTACTGAAAATTGCATTAACTGTCATACTGTTATTGAAGATGAAATTATCATTTATTCTTATATGTACGAAGGTTGTTAGAAAAGTTTACGGACAAGGTCTATTGTGCAATGTTGTAAGCACACCTCTTGAACTCGGCGGATAAAAACTATACGTAAGCAGAGATATAGTGTTTTCCGCAAAAACCATTGTGACGTCACAACAGTTGAACATAAAAAAAAAAAGCCCGTGAGTGATATCCACCGGATAAAGGGGTTAACATGTGATATTCATACATAGCTTATATCGGGTCTGTACAGCTAACGGAAAATGCAAAGTTATATTACGGACAAACATATAGATCTCTGTCTTTAACGAATCGTGTTCAGCTTTAAGAGACCTGACATTTTGTACACTAGAGTATCACATGATAAACAAGTGGTTTAAATGACCTTCCTCTCAGGAATGAAATATTGCTACTTGGACTCTGAACTTCATATTACAGCATCGAGGGCACTGCCTCAATAAACAGTATACATGTAAGTACGAACATTTTGTTTTTTTTCTCTTCTCTTCATAATAAAACCAAACTTACATAATTATTTATTATATTGCTATGACAGTGTTGCTAAATGTACTGAAATTATATTATGAATGATAAATTTAAGTCTGAATGTGACAGGTTTCGTGTTAATTTTTTTTTTCTGTGTAGCCCGATGTTCACCTTAATAAACACGACGTGTCCGTATGCTAAGTGGGTCCAGACTGCCAGGAAGTTATGCCCTGACCCAAATAAATATCACTGTTTGAACGATGAATTTGGTCGACCTGGGTGGCTATGCGCTGATCCAATATGGGTGGAAGGCGGTAATGTGCTGAAAATATATATTATCAATTTGAATTTTAGAAATGTAACTGAAGACTATAATATTTCTTCTACATAATGCATATCCCAATATAAAAAAAATGAGATCATCAATTTGACCGCACTATAGAATTTACTTTGAGGGTCTGATGTTAAAAAATAAACATAGTTATAAAAATATTCATTAAAAATGCGTGTACATATACTTAATGTAAAAGTTTTCATTTCGATCGTAGGACGATGTCCAGAATTTAATACCATCGCAAAGAAATTGGATACAGTTTCATGTGAGGGAGAAAACTGTCCAGACACAGTTTTTCAGTCGTCATTTGTTCATTTATGTGAGTATATTGTACGAAAATTACGCAATCTATACAATTATGTATAGTATTCAAAACCATTTTTTCGGTGTTTCACTGCAACATCTATATTTTTAGCGAAAATAATGCAATGCTACATGTAGCAGATATTTTAAATTTTAACTATTTTAAAGTTTTTTTATGTAAATAAAGCATACGTGTTTTAAGTACAGTGTATTTACAGTGTTTCATCGTTTCATATCTATGGAAAGTAAAAATTTAAACGTACTTCTCAATAAAAGTAAGAAATTTCCCATGTTTTCCTTAAGCAAAAGATATCTTAAAAAGTAGCATTGATCAAATTGGCAGGTTCTGATTTGAATGTTGGTACTGCTGATCAAAACTTGGAAGCAATACTGATTATTTGCTGACTCGTTTGCTTAATATATTTACATAATTTTATATAATAGTGATTTAATATAATGATTTCCTTTGATACTGAAACATAACAGAGCAGGTTCCGATTTTTTAATTATATTTTTTCAGATTTGAGTTGTAGAGGAGAAGGAGTTGAAAAGTAAGTTATAATTTAAATGTGCTATCCATCCGAGTTTTGGTTCTCCACCTTAATTCTTTCTTTCATACATTTCTTTTATACTTGCCCAAAAATTGAAAATAAATATAATAAAAACTAAAGAAATGTGACGTCAATTTAACATCTGAGAAAATAAACATATATTGTATATGAATACATGTTAATGGACCAGGACAACATCTTCAAACTTTGACCTTACAACTGAAGCCGTTCCGTTAGATAGTCCTGCATCTATAGGAATTACAGTCGGTATCATCGCTGGAGTAGTTTTAATCGCCATTGCTGTTGTTGCTCTGTGTCATCTTTTAAGAAGTAAGTGATAACTAATTTGGAATATTCATACAATCAAATATTTATATACATTCAATATACAGCAGAAAAAATTACACGGAGAGTGTATAACGTTTACATTGATGCATCTTGTAAATAAGGAGCAATTGCATTTCCTATATGGATTCCTTATGTATGTAAATTTAAATTATATAAATGTCACATAGTGAACTTTCTACAAAGCAAACCCAAACAAAACTATGTTTATTTTAGTTAACTTTAGTTTACAATAGTGTCAGTTTTTTCTTTAGTATATCAAACTTTTACTTTTCTTTTCTCTTGTGATCATGGGTGACGTGGTTCGTTTTTCACCAAATCTTTTCTTAACAAATGTCTATACCAATTCTATTCAGAAATTTACAAGATAAATATAAATCTCTATTTAAACATTTACTTTAGAGTTTCTGTTGTGTACGACCCACGGTAAATTTGGTCATAAGGAATTCCTTGGGACACACATTATAGTTTCTTAGATTAGTTTCTTAATTTCTTTATATTCATATACGAAAGTGTTACGATAAGTGAGTTACGGAAATTTGATAAGGACCTTAAATGTCCTTAGAACTGAGTTTTACCTATACAAAATATCTACTAAATGGGTTATTCTTTGAAAGAGGGTGTTGCAGAAACTCGCGATTATTCCCTATATCGAGAAGGACATTTGAATACCCACGACGCCTTTGTGTTCACGGCAGGTTTTTCCAGCTTGATATAGCAAAACACTTCACATTTTACATTTATTTCATGCATAGATTTTCCTAACATAGGAACCGATCGGCGACCTCTTAGTGAAAGTTAACCTTTTTATTTATTTTTACATGCATGTGTCAATATTGCCGTTTTGTACGAGAAAGGTTTGAACAATAAAATGCACATGCAATGGCCAGTGCACCTTGCACAGCATTTTTTAAGATATACGGTAGACAACGTCCGTGAGTATTTTTTAAATAAATAAAACTGTGTTCCATAATCACACTGTTTATGCTACATCCAAGACATTCCATTTGTTTCAAATCAAATCTTGGCCACTAAATAACAGACCAAAAATGAATCAAAATGAGTAAACTATGTAAAAAAATAAATTATTTAAAACAATACTTTATTTTCCAAGACATCGCCTTTCAACTAAATAATAGCATTATATCATTAGTTTTAGGTCACAGCTAGTATCAAGTAAGACAATTTAAATCTGCATGCGTTTAAAATATAACTCATTAACTTCTTGACATTCTCTCTCTCACTCTCTCTCTCTTTCCCTCGCTCTCCTAAAATAGATATTTTATTTCACTTCCATACATGAAAAAAGTGAAGAAAAAAAAATGCAAAAAACGACCCATTCCAGGATTCGAACCCATTCTCAGGTAAAATAATATTCGCTAGGAGTCCACCAGCATAACCACTAGACCATTTCTGACACTATTTTTCTGTGCGTTATTTTATGTACACGTTTTGCATTTCGTATGGATAATGTTTTTATTCAATTTTTGTGTTTTCAAAAATATGCCTCTTCGAAACAAAAATCGAAAATGACAGTTTTGAAGAAAATTCCTGCCTCTTTGTGCATATATCAAATTTATTCTGTTTCAAAGAGGCAATTTTTCAGAACAACGGGGATTCCCTATTTAAAAAACAGAAAATCGGATATATTTTGATGTGTGACTAATTTACACTTCATTTAATGGCAAATTGGAAGTCAATATGCAGCTTCCAAATGTTGTGCTACATTTAGCTGTATATACCGTTGTATCTGAAAAATATTAACATCGATTTCAGTGACTTAAAATTCTTCTTTTAATCTGCTACACATTTAGGGAAAATAACAATTTTTTTTCATTTTGGCTGCAGTCTCCACCTCACCTTACAAAAGTGTCTGAATGATAAAAATCATCATCTTTTCTTCATGTTCGAATCTTTATTTGTTCTTATATACTTAAAAATTAATGTTAACATTTTTAGGGAGACGACAAAACAAAAAAGACTCAGAAGCAGGTTTAGCAATGTTAGCTACGCCTGAACCAAACGATGGAAGGTCATATTCTCGCGCACAAAGAGCACTTCGCACGGAGAGATTTGTCGTCATAACGGGAATACAAGGATCCGGGAAAACATTTCTAGCTAAGCGACTTTGCAACGAATGGTTTCAAGAAGAAAAGTGTATTTGGATAACTGACCCGCAACATTTTCAAATTCTTTTAGATTTCAATAGTGTTTTTGTTCTTGATGATTTATTCCATGAACTACAGTCAGAGGACCAAGTGAGAGAAATGAAGGCAAATATCGATAAATTGTATGAAAATGTCGTTGTCAAACGTAATGGGAAAATAATTCTAACAGTTACAAGCTTAATTCTTAGAAGACTTGTATCTGTTTTTGAGGAAAGGAAGTATAAAAATATAATTGATCTCGATGAACTGTCTAAAGAGGATCGAGAAGATATATTACAATTCCATACGAAACTAAATAAAATGTTAGATGATACTTCAAAAATAGATGATACTTCTAAAAGTCAAAACTCATCAACTGTCATCAGAGATACTGATTTTCAACGGATGATTGAATATAACTCTGAAGGAACTTTTGATTATCTTGTCGAAAAAAGGGGAATGGGGTATTCAGCAGCTATGGCTTTGTGCTGTATGTTTAATACAGACAATCAGAAAGAATTCGATGCAAAATGTGGAAGGTATGTGAAATCTCCTGTCGCGTGGTTGCGACAAGATCTGAAAGAAATGTTCAACGAAAATAACATTGAAAGGAAAAGAGAAGCAATTGCTCTCTCTTTACTTGCTCTCCATGGTGGTCAATTTAAGTTAAGTGACTTGAACACGGCATTGATGGATAAACTAATGGAACTTGAAAATGTTAAACATGAGGAGGAAGGCTTTTTAATTCAAGCCTTTAATAACCAAAAAAGGAAATACGTCTATGAAAATGATGGTGTATATTCCTTTCAAGTACCAGTTGTCATGAAATTCTTATTCAGAATTATTTGTGAAAGGCATACGGAACTTTTAGAGTTTTGTGAAAAAGATTTGTGTAAACGACGAGTTTGTTTTTCCTCATTATTTCCAACTGATATCAAAGGAGATTATGCAAAATCATTTGTAAGCCTATCGTATATGAAAATGCTTGAAATTGATGATTGGTTTAGCAAGGAGAACCTGGCTAGTTAATGTCTTTCCACCTTGTATCAGTTATATTGTTTTCTCCCCACCGTTCGTCACACTTTCTTATTGTAGCATTGCTTGTCTCTGATATTTGACATAGAGCCTCATAATTCTTGTTGTATATGATTAATCATATCTTTAAACTGTGCAATACAGTACTGACATTATGATTATGGTCGCCGAAGCAAAATAATGTGTTGCTAAAAAATTGTTTTTCGAAAACTGAAACTCTTTAATTCCCACTAGAGTTGGTTATTTTGTATTACTGGTCATGTTATATTGATGTACAATATAGTTTCAGAAAATTGATCATTGTTCTAAGGCTTCGCAGGGGTACATGTAAAAGATTGTTGTCCATTAATAATATAAATTGTAATGTCAATGTGCATATGTGCAATAAGATTTTGGATGCTGCAAGTACCCACATACCAGAAGTTTATCAGGTTAAATTCGTTTTGTACGTCTAGTCTCATGTAATTTAAGTTCTAGATGGCCAATATTTTCTGTATCAGATATCAAAACAACTTTTTAAGGCGATTCATTTCCTCAAATATAGAATACCTACATTCACCACAATTTCATGGATGCTACATGTACAATACTGTAGCTTTTTTTGGTCATATTTTACACGCTGCATATGACCTTTACTTTTGATTGGGTGAATAGAATTTTTAAAGTACTTTCAGTCAATTCTTCTCTGTTAAGCGATCGAGTACAAAGATTATTGGACACATGTAATGCCAGTAACGATGCATGTTAATATTTCTTGATTTCGGAAATGCTACATTTAATATACATTTACCGAATAAATGATCAGTTCAAGCGACAAAAGAATGTTAATTTACACAAAGAATGTTTCCCTAGGGCATTTCAAACCTGAACTCAAGTTAAGCTGATTCCTTTAGAGAACAAAATTGTCAAAACATGTATTGTGCTATTACAAATAAAATGAATACAAAACACATTTCCTGCCTTTTATATTGGATTTTTAATTAATAGGCGTGTATCATGTACATTTAACCATGTAAAAAAGAAAGAGAACAAACAGTCAAATAACATTTTCTGAATTGTTTTTACAACGAAATATTCACTTACTGAGTATTAAGGATTTCTACATTTACGTTTGATCGTTCAAAATTATTAACAAAAGCTAATTCAGAGACTTTGTGTCCCCCGCTTAAGGAGAAAAAAGAGTGGAAGAACTGAAAAAAAAAATATGCAGATGGAAAAAGAAAAATGGTTAGCCATGACCTTTCAGTTTTTGTACTTAAAGCAAATAAGGGTCGTTTTATTGTAGGAAATTCATGCATATGACATAATGTTACATTGGAAAAGCTTACTGAGCACTTAAGTTATTACCTGAAATGTGCAAAATATATTAAGAACTGAGTACATCGGCCCTGTGTAATCGGCCCTGTAAAATCGGCAACAATTATACACACGTTCCCTGTGTGTAAAAGGGTATCAATTTTCCTCACCTAAGTTGCCCTTTTATAAATATAACGTTCAGAACCGGTCTAATATTCCGGATTTCCCCTATTGTGGGCGTTTTTCTCCAGTAATGTCTGCAAAAATTTGCAGAAAGAGCAATTCTATACCTCAATTTTTAATATCAGATGAAAAAATGACCTTGTAAAAGTACGGCCACAGCCGTTTTTACCAAAAAAATGTAGTTGGAAATATTGAATTTTATGAATAGACGTCACTTTTTCTCCACAATAAAATCCACATTTTTTTTTTTTTGGAAAATTAGTTTGGATCTCTGTATCTAAAGGTTTTAATACCTTTTAAATTCAATTCTTCATTTGAAAAATAATTAACTGCAAAATATGCAATTGAAGATTATACAGTTTATTACATACATGTATAAACCTTTCTGTATGAAATTTATTATGGACGATATTACATGTAAATTAATGAAGCAGTAAATTGAAAACATGACGTCACAATGATCAATCATGTTGAAAGATTTTCTAGAACACAACTTAAAACAAACGGTCTTCATAACTTTGAACATTTTTAGTCAGTATTTACAGTAGGGATGGCAAGGAATATTCGAACATTCGAATATTCATTCGATGAGTTGATATTCGAATATGAATTTAAGATTCGAATATTCGGTGTTTTTCAGATATCATAAAAAGAAGTACTGTGATTAATAAATTTTAATTAGAACAGTGCTGAAATTATCCCTGTTAAATTTACTAGCGATCAATTTCGATCGACTGATTTCTTTCACTACTTTCTTATCTTATAAATCTTCTAAATTACATGTATTTTGTTTTGAGTAAGGTGTTTAAAGAATTGTACAATAATGCTTTATGTATAATACAAAACGTACTTTCATAGCTTTTATTAGTTATAGATACGATCGGATCTAGAATCGAGGACAATAAATGAAATCTAAGAATATCTAAAAGGCGTGAAGAGTATACTTATCAAAATAAAATTAATTGATCATTGAATGAATGTCCGATAAAATTAATCCGTAATTAATATTGTAAAAGGCTTAATTTCAGAATAGATGTGTAAATTTCTTGATTATCACGGGTTGTACATAATTTATATTCATTATCGGGAAAACAGTTAATTACCTAGGAAAATTGTCTATGGAAATATTTGTTTACATTGTATCAAAGATTATAATCATATCTCTTATAATGCAGATAATTGTAAGTTATTACACGTATTGAAATCTGAACAGTATACCGTTACGGCTATCTTGCCCTTTGTGAGACGACTGGTTCCTCAGGTGGGGCTACTACAAATACACGTTTCATTTGTTAAAATTATACTTTTCTACATTTAAATCAATTATTTATTTCAAACATTGACAAATATCAAATGGAATTTCTTATTGTACACCTACAAAAGTCTTCATACAATTTTACTTCCTATATAAGTATACATGTACCTACGAGAGTAGGATGATGCATATTTAAAATAAAACAGATTTTATTTATTTTATCGAATATTCGAATATATTCGAATACTTTCATTGAATATTCGAATGTGAATTATTGACAAAATTGACATCCCTATTTTACAGTGAAAAACAGTAATTATACGACATGAGTGGTGATGGATCATACGATCAACTTACATTGAATTACATACATGTACTTCTAGAAAAACGTTTCCCTCAATGTCTTTATCAAAGTGTTCAAGAAACATTCAATAACAATTTCTGCTTCTCAAATCCAGATCTCATTTTACAAAGAAATTATGATTCAGGCAAAAAGTCTTATCTAATGTACATGTACCTTTTATTAAGAACCATCAGCTTTCTTAAATATGCTTTATTTGTTCTCATTTTTAACTATATCACTACATGATCAAATAATGTATAAAATTGCGGAGGAAAGTGCATTGGAAAGACACCGGGGGGGGGGGGGGGGTTATAATGCAAATCATTGTTTATTAATCAGTTTTTTGTCAAGATGTATATTTTCTTAAGACTTGTTGCCAGTATGTCTCAGGCATCAGATGTCATTTTTGATTCCACATAATCATTTGTTTGTGAAAGTTCGGAAGGTTCCCGATTTTGCTAGACATATTTATAAACTTCACATGCAAGCTAGGTTACTAAGTGTATGACTTATTTTATGGACAGAAATATCTTACAATATGTCTTATACATGTATTACTTTCACAACTATAACCACATAGACTTCTATCATAAGAATTTTCTATTCATTTTACGATGAATATAGTCGCCCGCGTGGCGCAGTGGTTAGAGCGTTTGCTCTAGACTCGCTTAGTAAGGAGTTGATCCTTCGCGTGTTCGAATCCCACTGCAGGAAAAAGGGGTAGCATCTCCATATAAGTGAAAAAGTATCGAGAAGGACGTTAAACAAACAAACAAAACAAACAAACGATGAATATAAGTTCAATTCAGTGGCTGGTCTCCTTTTCACAGCAGTCATCAATGTTTGCATTTTGAGTACTTACAATGATAACAAAGGAATGACATTGTCATACTAACACGCTGACAAACCTTTTCATGATTAAATCAAGCTTCCTATACAATGTAACTCCATTTTTTCTCCCTAGTATTATGATATAAAAATATTTTATTTATAAATTCTAAATGAAATAAAAGTATACACCAACAAAAATCTAGTTAAGTTGGAACAGGAAAAAATAAGCAAATTATAGGAGAAATATATGGTCTCTTTGGTCAATTCAGGGTATGGCAAGGGGTATAACTCTATAAAGGAGCAAGTGTTCTGCGTATTGTGCTCATAAGTAACAAAATAACATCATTTTTAAAAAATTGATAACAGAACTAATAAGAAATTTTTTATGTCGCTTATTTAAAAAAATAGATACTAAATAATAAAGGGACGTACAATTGAGAATTTGTGATGTGATCTTTCTGTTACCAGTTACTCTGAATTTCGATTATTTGTATATGGAATTTTAATAGAAGGCTAGGGGAGGTACTGATAATTAGTTTATACATGTACGATTGTGTACCAGCAATCAAGTTATATCAAGAACTAGCTATAAATACATCCCTTTCTTATTTTCCGTGACTCTTTACTGACCTTTAATCGATCATTTACGAATTTCAAAGCACAACTGCATCGCATTGAAAACGGCACAATTCATGCAGATTTTCAAAGCTGACGTAGATAAACTGTGTAAATCATAGACACAATATTATAATGAAATTAAACTTCTTTTCTTTAACTTTCAGAGAATTATACCCACTGTGGTGTACTAGAGGCTTCTGGATCCGTTCCCGAGAATTTGTGTCCAATCGAAATATATTTCTCGAATTTGTCACTGTAAAAGTGGTTATTTACACTTGGGGGAAATTTACACTAGTTACGCGGTAAGCTTCGAACCGTCCGTATGGTCACAGAATTTCTAAGTTCTGGAATAATTCTAGACTTTCTAATACTGATATACCGGTCGAACCTGTCATATATTAATCGTGGTATTGAACGCACGCGAGTAGATAAATACATCACAAACAGTGATGAAAATGTTTGTTTTTTTTTTTTTTTTGTTTTTTTTTTTTTTTTTTTTTTTTTTAATTAAATTGTGCAATGAAAAATGCATCTTCGTATTAAATATCTTAAAGCAACGTCACGCAAGTAGAGTTTCAAAGCGTAATTCACATTTTCATTTCCTTTGTATGATTGTAAAGTACGTCCCTCTTAATTTCAAATAATTAGTTCAAAATGTTACACAAATTCACAGTCACTATACCAACATATCTATTGAATTAACTATTCAAACATACCTATTGAATTAATTGTCAACACCCGCCACCCAGATACAGGTAAGTAGATCCCACTTTGAAGTTTGAGCTTGCGTAAATAAATACAATGAAGCGTACACCAGTTGTTCACTCTTCACCGCTTTTGACTGTGCAGATCGCCGTTATATTTAGCAATCCAAGGAACATGCACATATCGATGACCAGAATAAATTCTTTTTGTTTTGTTTTATTTGTTTAATTTCTAATTTATTTTTTCTTATTTAGTGTAAACTTCTTGACCTTTTCAAAGGGGGACAACTATATATTAGTAACGATGGCCGCGTAAACTTTTCTCGGTAACTCGTGCGACCGTGTATATTACATCCACGCGTAATGTTTGACAGTCACAAACGCGTACTTAACAACCAGTGTAAATAACCACTTTTACAGTAAACAATGAGTAGCATGTTTGTCACTAAAATTGAATTATAAGCAATCACTATATATTGAATTCTTTTGTTCATCGATAAATGAATCTAAATCGAATTACACATTTTTTTTTTACAAAAGTCCCTGGCGATTCGGTTATTTAGATCCATTTCTCGATGAATAAACTATTTGACATACCCTGGAATCATTTTGATTCGTGGGGCTCAATGTTCCTGCATGGGCAATCAAAATATTACTTGTTCGTGGAGTCGTAATTAATTGGGTTACTCGTTTATATGGTAGATTCAATAAATCAACATGTTTACAAAATAAACGATCGTGGGGATGTAAATTGATGGGTAAGGGTGACCTACGAAATCCACGAACATTGGTCCCCCACGAACAAAAAATGATTCCCCAGTAGTCAATTTTATAATATGGTGGTGGAAATTGTATCCCGCATTTGAATATCAAATTCTGCATGGTTCCTTTGAAAGGTATCCAATTTTTCTTTACATCATGAAGCAAAATAGAAAACACATTATTTTTCAAGGTGGGAAACGCATGTTATGATAATCACGCAGGTCTGTGCAAGTTGTACAAAAAATTATCAATATAAATCTTATAACAGGTTTCCCTTTTTACATAAAAAGTGGTTGTGTGTAAGTAAGTTGGGAGATTATTCCTGGTTAGTTCCTTTGACATGAACCTTGCAGGAAACGGATTCGCTGGAATGAACAAATAACGGTGATCTATAAAAGAAATTTTCAACATCATTAAATATTCTAAAAGTTCTTTGGAGAATTTGAGAATCTACATCTGATTTTTACCTTCTAGAAAATGCAGTAGCACAGTAGGTCTGAAGTTTCTCCTTTGTAGCGCTTCTTAGCTGTTACTATTTTTGTAAGGAGTAAAGATAGTGGGATTGTAGAGTATTTGCTGGACCCAGCAATGTATCTGTTTGAAAGGATTTTTATGAAGTTTAGGAATCCAATATAGATAGGGTAGATCGAACTCACCTTAGTTGACTGGAAAGTTAAAAGAATTAAACACTGAAATGTGAATTTTGTACAGTTGTAATTTGGCGAGAATGAAAAAAAAACATAGGGTGAATTCAAAATTGTTTATTTAGAATTCAACTTACCGCAGCATAAGAGGGCTGTCCCAAAAAGTCGTACGCAATGTTTATAACTTTGAAAACATGCAACCAATACTAACCAAAATTTGCATCGCTATCATTTATTCAATGTTTCTTAAAATAATGAATTTTTAAATAAATATCTTTCATAGTAATTGCATGTATATTTTGACGATTTATAAATGCGTCGTCAAATTACTTTCGCGGCGCACAGGGATGCAATAAATATTGTTTTGAATGTAGTTCGTCCACTTCAGAAACGGAAAAAAGTTATAAAAGTGACATAACACATTAGAATGTTAGTAGAGAAGTTGTTTATGAATGGCATAAGAGACAGTTTTACCTCCGCACCAAAAACAGTTAGTCCTGATTAAGAAGTAGAGTACTGTTTGTAAAATTCAGACTGTGAGTAACATTATGGGTCACGATCGACGTCAAACTTTGTGTATGACCGCTTCGCAGCACAGTTAAGGCTGCTATAAGGAGGCGGGGCCTAATTTTTACGGGAAATGCTTACTATGACATCACACAAAAATACATGTTCTTCAAATTACCACAGAATGAAATGATACGCTATATTAAATTGTTGGATAGCTTTAAACTACATTAATACCTACTATTGCAAGTATTTTTGTCGTTGGTTAAATCCCACACAGTCATATATAAACAATTTACTGATCACAATGCACTTGTCAATGTGACGTCATATCGTAAAATTTGACGCAGTTTGTATGCAGTGAGAGGCGGATCAAGTTATATTTTTTACAATGAAAATGTGTTTTGTAATTAAATAAAATATTATTTGCAGATATGTAAGAGGCCATTAACTTGGATGCGATGTCTATTTTATGATTTTATTCATATATTTCCCGTACATTCCCTAGACAAGTGAAACTGCCGTACATTTGTATGCAGATTCATTGAAGGGTAATAGAAGGGTTCGTAATAAATCGATATATTGCAAGGGCATACCCTCAATGAATTACAACAAGCTTTTACACATAAACTCAAGAGGTATGAAGATATTTGAAAAGTGCTGCGAACCTGATGAAATCTTGCAAATGAATTAATTATATCTACATTTAATGTACTTGACAAAATATCCAACATACGGTCTAACAAATGTAATTTTAGCAATTATATAGTAGAATCTATATAGGTTCGCAGCACATTTCACAAACTACAAAGAGTGTTGAAAATAATTATAAATTAAACTTAAATTTTTAACTTGGTTATGCCCTTGCAATATTGGAATTTATAGATGACCTCAGTACTGCAGGTATATTTGCTAAAATCACGTGATTGCCACATTACGTGACAAATCTAAATAAGAAATATAAACGTTCTCAACATGTAGTTTTCAGCCACATTACATTTGTCCGATAATAGTAAAGTCCTAAAAAGAATCGCCCACCCTTATAAAGAATGTATTTTCTGTCTAAAAATTCGCCGATATTTCCATTTGGCACCTTAACTGTACTGCGTTCCTACAATGTAGTACGACTTGACCAGGACTGACATATGCATCTGATCAAGGAATACAGACAGTGGTAAATTTTAATGAGTCTCTCAGTTTAGAGAGGATTGCCAATTTTAAAAAAAAATCAATGCTTAAGAGAGAAGTGTTGAGCAAATGGGCCAGAATATTTTTTTTTAAATGTGATAATGACGTTGTAAGAGACGTAAATTACGCTTGCTTTCGTGTGCCGACGTACATTTATATGCTTTCTTTATTTTTACATTATTTTCTTATTAAATTTGTTTTATCATAAAACTTGAAATTTCTGATCAATCTTTTGTAATAAAAACTATAATTCATGTCTGTTTAATTTCAAACTTGTTTTTTTCTTTCTATTACATAGAATTGAGTATTTCAAACCGTCCGTAATCTTGACTTTCTTCTTTATTAGAGAACAAAATTCAAACTCGCAAATAAATCACAAAAAGACAGGTTACTATAACAATGAACACACAAACTGATCATAAAAGCAGATGTTGTTGCAATTATATCCAGATATACATTGAACACTGCTTCTAAATTTCTTGTTAACAAGGTTCATTCAGTGAAATTTTAGTGAATCTACAGTTTTTCCTGAAAAATGCTCATCGAATTTTCTTTGATACTCACGCCCTTTGTCATGCTTTCCTACATAAAAAAACATATCGGCAACTACTTCATACATTTCTGGAAATTCCTTCGAAAGTTCTTCAATGGCGGTCATGTATGGAAATATTGGATTCATGGTACCATTCATTGTGGAAATGTTGTAAACATGAATATAATAATTAAATAATGTAGACTTAAGATTCTGTTTCATTGTTTTCTGCTGAGTCATTATTTCCATCTGTAGTTTCGTGTCCTCAACTTCTGCAATGTCAAGCGATTCTGTAGAAATTGCGCGACAGAGGCACAGAATGGCGGTATCGATTGCAAGAGTGGCTACAGAAATATTTTCCTTCCTGTACTGAGAAAAACTTAGATCGTAGAGAAATGAAGCTATTGAGGAAAAATCTCTCGTACATTCTAGTGGTATTCCAATCCAAGATAGCTTGAAGTCAACTTTCCATGGAATCACATCACCAATTGTCTTGCAACTCTTTTTCGAATGTCGAGTCAATATGTCGGTTTCGTATTCCATGTCAAACAACCGAAGCAGTATTCCCCTTGAAACTGTTTGCTTGAATTCTTTTAATGCCTTGATAAAAAATTCAGAAAAACTTGGTCTAATGATATGCTTTTCTCTCTTTACAAGAGGAAGGAGCAGAGTTTCCTCGTAAACTTCTCTTATCATTCGGAATGCTGATTTGTAATATCCCAAACGTGAAAAGAATTTTGATACTCGCAGAGCTGCAGAAGTAAAACTTCTCTGATATTCATTTTGTAGGTCCCTAGAAATCGCAAATTCATTGCAATTGCTTAAAACATGTTTATTCAAGTTCCAACTAAAGCCGTAGCCATGTCTTTCGGCAATAAAACTAATTGCAATCGCTGGAAAAAAACGAATAGCTTCCATGTATACACATATTGTCTCGATATCTTCATCAGAATAATAATCTATGGTATTGTTTGATGATATGTAATAATGTGGAAGGAATTTTCTTTTCAAATACCTAATCAGCAATGACCATGAGTACAATATGCATCCACCAAGGTTAGACTCCCATTTTTCTTGTGGGATTTCTTCACAGGCACGCAGAAAAATTGACAGGATGTGTTTATTTTTTAAACCTTTTGGTTGGTGGATCAAAACCTCTTGCACAACAATTTTCAAAATATTAAAGCCATAAATCTGGAAAGTACTAAGTGCTTTTGAAAAAATTATGGTATTTGCCATTGAAAAATCTAATTTCCATTCTATATCAGGATGATCACTTTTAGGATGACACTTTGGAATCAAAGTACAACTCCCAATGCTTAAAATTTCATCAATGATGAAGAAAGGTGGCCAATTGAATTTGCGCTTGCGCTGAATCCATTCCTTTGCGACAACAGGGAATATTTTACAAACAAACCCAACACAGCATTTCCGTGTATTTGGAGGAAGTATCGTTTCTTTTGGCAAATCTTGCTTTGTAAGAAACAATCCGTCGTTGAGTTCTTTAACTCTTTTGGTAGCAAAAGAAGATGGTGTCTCAGCAGACCTCAACCAGCAGTAGCCTGGATGAGTAGTACTACAGTCTGCATACAAAATCAATTTTGAATCACTTTGACTAGGTCCAGCAGCTCCGAACTTTATAAACTTATCAAAGCGCACTGCAACAACAGAGGGATATATGTTCATAGCTTTCAATTGATGAAAATATTTTTTTCTTTCCAGTGACAGATCTTTTAAAGCCACATTATTGCCAGTTGCAAAGGTTCCAATAAACTGAAACATCTGTTTGTTAATCTTGATAGGATTACTTAATGTTGAACATCTTATAATGATTTCCTTAGGGAAGGTATATCTTATGATGATCCCTAGATGTGAAAGTGGTATTCCAGTCAAGCCGTCAACATATAATGGGTCTTCAATAAGACAGGCAAATGAATCTGAAAGGTAATATGCTGCTTAAATGCTATGCAACAAGAAGCCTTTCATTCAATTCCTATCAATGGTTATGTTGCGAAATACGACATATAAGTAAGCACCATTGTAGAATGTGGTCCATTAAAAAATTATCAAGGTTGTTATATTGGATACATTTAAGCACATCACACATGTGAAGAACAGTTTACTAAGTGTATTATAATAAACACATTTGATTTCACCTTCTGTGACAGAAGTGAAATTTTAAATAAAAATGAAATATGAAGATAATGAAGAGTTGTCAAGCTCAGAAGTCCATTGGAACAATACAAATTTGGAACAGAACAAACATGGACCTCTAAAAACTACAGAGGTGGAATCAGTTGTCATGGAGGAGTAAGCATCCCCTGTCGATCGGTCACACCTGCCGTTTGCTTCTTGTCTTGATCAGGCAAACAGAAAATCCTATACAATTCAGTGCGAAAATATACCCTAACTATTAGTATGAAAACGACAATTATCATTCGACCTAAGGGTAGACTGTATTTCCTAACAACGTAGTTGTACCTACTATAGAATTTGCGAAATTTTGCCATTAAACGAGACTGTTAATATCCTGGTATCATCAACTTATTTGCCGATAGCTTGCTTCGTTTCAGAAATTGTCCGTACGTAGAGGCACCATGGTTTTGCGTGTCGAATCATTTGTGAGATATAAATTCTGTATGCAGGTGACAAGGGTATATTGCTACATAAATAAGGGACGTTGTTGAGCTTATCATGTTTATCATGAAGTTTTTTTTTTTTTTTTTTTTTTTTTTTTTTTTTGGTTAGTTTTCTATAAATGTCTTACTATGTAAAATACCCGAATATTAAAACAGATGCCTCAGATTATGTTGTGTCTCTGTGTCATATTTCGATTTCAAAGGGATTATCGAGTCACCAAATACCGGTGAAGGGCTTCAAATTTAGACCTATACTTGGCAGTCAGGGCTATTGAACAGTGAGGGTTCTTAATCGTGCCAACTCCTACCGTGACCTCGGTTTTCAAGGTCTCATCCGAGAGTTTTATTTCACTACTGTTAATATTTTGATGAGGATTAAGGAAACAGGCTAGATAGAACATTTACTAGAACCCGCTATGTATGCGTGTCAGGATTTTAATGCAGCTCAGGAATCGAGTGAAGGTATAGTAAATCAAATTCGAAATATTTGAAATGACATATGATTTTGAAGAATTTATTTTTTTTAGAAAGGGAACTACGACTTTCAGTTGAATTCCCACTTGCAAAAAAATCCAAGTTCCACTAAAATACAATAATAATAATAATAATAATGGATCTTTCAAACAATGCGTATAATTTTCTTTCATTCCTGATTGAAATTATTATAAAAAGTGTATCTCAGCTTGACAATAAATTGGACTACTTTACGTTTTCCTATGTCAGTTTTAATAAACCATAAGCATTACCATTTGTTTCTCCGCTTTGCAATTCATCTAAACCATACGAGTTGAATAAGGAAAAATAAGTGCCTTCCACTTGGATAGGCGGTTTTGAATTCCCTTTCCCTTCTCCATTCATCTGTTCTGTCCCAAGAGATATTTCCTTCAACAACTCTTCTAATCCAGTGTCCTGAATAATGTCCTTTATTTTTGCATTCTTCAACCATTTCATTTTTTCCTCTGAAAGGTTCTTCGGCGTAGTCTGGTCGGCATGGAAAAGTGATCGTTGAAGAAGTGCTCCTGAAAGAGAATTACTATAAACGTTTTTAATTTTGTAACTGTTAGTAAATTTTTCTTGGTCCCTTTTTAATTAAGTAAAAAAAGTTGCTTTTAATATTGGTTGATGCTCACTGAATGGCCATATTTCCAGCCATTTTTGTGGTCGAAGACTGACATAATGAAATTCTCCTAGATGACCAAGGTAAACAGTTAATTGTCTAAAAGGAATATCTTTTCTTGATGATTTTATTTCCGTGCGTTGAATATCATCTTTGTAAATATTAAACACAACAGCCTCTAGATGAAGAGCATCAACAGTAGCCTTTAACATAATGTGGTCGCTCCATTCAGTCGGGTTTGACATTCTTGTCAGATATTCCACCATAGTTTCGGTATTTAGGAATGACTCTTTTGGACAACCATCGTCCTGCAGAGGATGCTCACTAAGATATCTTGAAATTGAAAACTTCTAGATAAAATGAATATTTCTAAAGAATTTAAAATTAACATGAGTAAGATTGATTAAATGCAATTTTAGTTAGGTACATGTAATTCTTCTACCTTTGGTTGTATTGCCTTATTGCTAACATTCTTTTACATTGACTTTGTACATATACTATGCACATAATTAAACATTAGATGAATTCTTACCTTACAGCCGTGTGTCTAAGGCTTTCCGCAGTGTGGCCAAAGTGACCGTTGATTGCTAGCTGGTCAGCAAGTGAGCGGAACATACAACTGCCATCGGCTTTTCCATTCCAAATCTCAAAATTATTATCATTGGCAAATTTTCGGATTGATCTCATGAAAATTGGCATATTCATGTACTGTTCCACACCTTGGCCTACAACATTATTGACTTAATTTTAGCAATTTGTACAGAGTTACAAGAATGACGAAAAGAAAGAATTTTTTATGTAAACTCTAAATGGTTTTCAAAGAATTCAGTATATTTGGTTAAATTCTACTTGCATGTAGTTATCTTGGTTGTCTTAATATAAAATTCACTTACTGTATCTGCCTTCGGCATGTGATGTACTGTAGTGGTCAAAATTTTCATAAGCATATAGACTATTGGTGTCCTTCATCAGACGTCTATTACAAGACAACTGATATTCGTCATCACTATCAAAGTAGTCTGTAGCATCGCTGTCATCGTCAGTAAACTCTGCATCCTCTTTCGGAGAATCGTATGAAGTGAGTGAATCTTTAAGTCCAAGGTGCTCGTTTTGGAAATCATTTTCTCCTTCTAAGAATTCGCCTTCCTCTAAATTATTCACTATCTCGTCTTCATTGTCAATGTCAACCTTTTCTTCATGTGGACTCTTTATCCAAATGTTGTTCAAAAACTTAGATGATTTCTCAGTTGCTTTTTCAAAGAAATGGACATCGAACAGTGAGGATGAAGAATTTTGGAAGTTATCTATTTTCGATTCATCCATTATTCGTGTGCATCATAGAATAAATAAATAACATTTTAAATCTCATCACTGGAAGGAGGAGAAAAATTTCCTCAATCAAATTAAGGACGGAAATAAAAATATCTTCAGTACCTTTATACACGATGAACTCAATTTCCTTTTTTTTCTGTGTTTTTTTTCCTCTTCTAATTAAAAATTACAGTACTCAGTCACCATGTATTTTTTTTTTGAATATCATAGAACTTATTTTTTAATTGAAAGTGTTCCCATTTCCTCATAAGTACTTAAAAGTTGTCCATGTGTAAAGTGATGTATGATGTAAAGTATGAGTGTATATATATGTATATTTAAATTGAATACACAAATTACTATTTCCTTCTTTGAGAGACCTTATACAAAAATATCTTTTCTGTGATATAAACAACAAATATTCTTCAATCCTGTGCCATGGGAATCAACGTGACTTAGTATCATTTTAAATATTAGACGAGCAAATTCGCACTAAGGTCAATAACACAATAAAAAAGAACTAAAAAGTATATATATCTGTCTCAAAATCTACGAGGCCCACTTTCATCCGAGTTAAAAAAAAATGCTCTGTACGTGCTGTTTATCTCATGGACTCATGTGCTTTAAAACCAGTAAATCTAAAGAGAAATGCATTTTTCTTTGAACATTATAATGTCGTACCTAATTGATGTCTTAAAATCGGAACTTATCTTTTTGTATTCGGATTACGTGAATAATTATCAACGAAAATAACTCTTAAAAACCCGGAATTTGAACTCGAAATACTTTAACTTTGCAATCTCCTTGCTGCTGGAAAATAGGTCGGACTAATACATAGTTTGGCTATTAGAAAGGTGGACCATAATAATGTCGAACCCATACATTATATTACAAATTCAAGCATTAATAATTATAATAAGGAACAACAATAAGAAATAAATAGAAATTTCTATTTCGTGAAATTTCTATTTCATGAAATATGGAGATAACGAACATTATTCAAACTTATTGTCCATTTTAACAATACAAATCGGGAGCAGCGCAAACAGGGACATCCAAAAACATATCAGAGGCGGGATCAGGTGCCATGAAGGAGTAAGCATCCCCTATCGTGTTTATGTCAGTTCATATATATTTTTCAGAGTTTTGAAAAGCACAAATTGCAGAAGATAGATATGACACCCATAAGGGCCCCCTAAGGACAAATAGGACCCCCTGTAGTAAACGAATTTACTGATTGATGAGCATAATTACTGTATTATCTATGAAAGTTTTTTTTTTTATCCACCAATGAATTTAATTAGGTTTTCTTGAATAAAAAAAGAAATCATTTTAAACAAAAATGGTTTCCGGCGAACAGTATTATGCACGCTCCAGAAAAAGATTTTCATAATCAAATAAAATCAATAATATATTCCAGTGCCCCGAAAATTGACCACACGACCTAATGCACTGTGAGACTACTCACGTCCTTATATGTATATCAGCGAATTATTTTCCATTGGTTAAGTAAATAACAGATGTGTATTCACTAATAAATAATAAATAAACAGTTAGGTCTGTATCACTTTCGCACCAAACTTTACTCGTCCCTTTGAAGTTAAAAATAGTCTATTTGAAAAAAGTCAAGGGAGGTCCATATTTGGATTCTTCGACACCAGAATACAGGCTCGGATCTGTGATTATGGATATTGCAAATCATAGGCTTTTTAACCGCCACGTGTTAAGGAGTAATATACTCTTGTTCCTTAAACTTCAATATGCCAACAAAGGAATTGGTTAATATAAGTAATATTCTTAATCACAAAGCGTCCAGTCTTGAATTCCACCATATTTCAAGTTGAAGTCCACAACTTGTATTTCTTAAAAATATACATCAACTGTTGTTTCCAAAACTTTTTAATAACAAAAAAATCTACAGTGCCTAGATATCGAATATCTGAAACATAATCCTCCAACGTGTTCATGTTCTTCTTCACCCTACAACTATAGTCCTGCTGGACACGTCATTACTGGTGACGTAAATATAGTTAATAATGAGGATCTTAAAATCGATTATTTTAAAAAGGCCAAAATTTTGGGAACCCCAGTCTGAACTGCAGTCATAATTTCATAAAACTTATTAATAATGTGGAACATTATGCCAGGCGATTGGCCAAAAATAAAAATGAAGACCTTGGCACTTCGTCAGAATGGATTAAAAGACTCTGATGGATGTTGAAATCTGGCAATAAAGGAGTAAAGGGCAAAATGAAAACCATCTATCCTTCTGTCTTCAATAATTCAGAAGTGAAAAAAGAATCAGATAGATTACACGACCAGTGTGTACTGGCCCCAGGTGACAAAGCAGGTAACAGCATTTTCTTTGTTTACAAGGCTCATTATTTTTGTTGTATTTTATTGAAGAATTATCAACTGAGTTCAATTTTGACTTAGAATCAATATTTACTGGTATGTCCCACAAACGTAATAGACACATTCTTAATACATTTTGCGATGGTGATGTTAATGTATCTATATATAGAAATTATCGATATATGACTGCATTTTTAAAATAGTGTTGGGTATCACATGTTTTCGCAATGCACACGTTAATCTATATTGTACGAGTCTAATTCTACAATATTATATAATGCAATTGAAATACACGGAACGTCACGGTAGCTCAGACGGTAGAGCGCTCGCTCCATGATCGGAAAGTCGTTTCTTCGAATCACGGCCGCGACTGACCTAAGTCGATAAAAGTAGGTTGCAGCTGTTCCTTTGCTAAGCGCTCGGCACTTTGAATTGAAAGTTGCGGGTCCTTCCGATGAGACCTTTAAAACCGAGCCCCATGTCAAGGTAGGCATTGGCACATTAAAGAACCCTCACTGCCCAATAGCCCTGAGTGCCCAGTAAAGGTAATTTGAAGCCCTTCACCGGTATATGGTGACGTCTCTATATGAGTGAAAAATCCTTGAATAGGACGTAAAAGAACATACATACATACATACATACATACATACATACATACATACATACATACATACATGCATACAAATTAAATATACGGTGCAAGATAACAAATAGGCATCAACGCCCCCGCTACAGTGAAAAAAAAATCGTCTTTGAAATGAATAACAGTTTGTGTCGACAAACAATTGAGACAGTGGGAGTTTTAAAGTATATAATGCAGTATAAAAACCTATATATACATGTACAAACATGTCACAGATTATATACAACTGACAATTTAAACAAATATTCTTGGGGAAGGGGCAAACCCAGCTATGCAAGATGCACGGAAACATCAGAACCATGTGGCAGACTAGAGGTCCACCTGAAGCAAAACAGTGAGTTGTGCTATTCTGCCAAGTAGTAGCATGCTGCATGTTCTGATGAAGTGCACCACAACTCGGTTTGTGGTGTCAAACAGTGCTGCAGTAACCGGAAGTTGAGCTGAGAAAAAGGTCTGGTCGTGTCGGTGGAGAGCCAGCTCGCATGCTCCTGGACTCATTTAGTATGAGGAGTTTGAGGTGACAAACTGATATACTCGGGAGCCTCATGTTCACATTAGCTTTAGCAAAGCAAATGACCTGACCGCTGGAACAGCATGGAGTCTGTTTCCTGAATTTTGGGGTAAAATTTTTCGGTATGTTGAGGTACAACATGTAAAAATGCCTAAAGTCAGATGTGAAATAATGTAAAAATTTATTGAATAGCTGAGTTGCCCTAAAATAAGAAGGAAGTGAACAAGCATGGCACAATAAAAGGAGGAGGCTCAAATTGAACAATCCAAGCAAAAGATGAGGTCAGTGAAACATATGTATAGGGGCCTAGTAGTCTCGAAGGCTTACTCTGCCGTGAGAGCCTGTTATGCTCGTCTTATAGTAGCAGATGGTGTTCTTATGTATCTACAGTATGAATCTGAAGACCACCTACCTAAAACTTTGACTAGGTTATTCTCGATATAGGCAGATGTAGCTGAAGTGGCAGCGACAATGCGAAAAGAGTGGCCACTAAAAGCATGAGGATTAATCCCGCCCTTGACTAGAGTAAATAAAGAGAGGAATACATTCCTGGACAAAGACATGCCATCTTCTGTTATAAATAAGGGGTCATTTGGAGAGGGGTTGGACTTTAATCTTAATTAAACTATTTAATGCATGCATTAAATAGACAAATAGACAAGTATCTCAGCCGTTTTTGAACAGTTTTAATATGATCCCTTTTCTAAATGGATCAGTTTTAGAGAACTTTTAATGTAAATGCACCCTGTCCTCAAGAATTAGTATATCTGACAAGCAGATATGAGAAGATGGGTCGAAATTTTTGTAAATGGTAAACTTGCCACATCTCAAAAATCCAAAAAATGCTACCGAACACGTAGCTAGTAACAAGACATTTGTGAATACTGTGCATTGATTGGGTTGATGCAAAAATATACACAGTTTTTTAAACACATCAAAAGTAACGCGTTGTCTAAAATCATTTGGCCTTATCTTGCTTCGTTTGGCACCATTAAGGGCTACAAATAACCTTGGCATTTCATTGACATTATGATACATAATGTTATGCTTTATACAATGAAAACGTATGTCACATAAGTACAAGTACATGTACAATTTGAATGTTGCATAACTAAGTTCTAATCTAGAGTAACTGTGAGCAACAAAATACAGTAATAAATATTGTGACACTGGAGCATAAGGTAAATGTATACCCTGTGATATTGCACATAAGTAGAAATCTGATGTAGGCTTTAAATCCTGTGATAGGATTGCTTGGTCCTGGGAGCCACAGCAGCATCCAGGAGGTTGTCTACAAAATTGTCAAGTCTTTGGGGACCATCTGGTATCCTAGAGCATTGCAAGGTGTTTTCCTGGCATCTAGAACCAACTGTTGGAATTCTGGGATCTGTAAACCGGACAGACAATCGGCAATAATATTTTTTGACCTTCAAGATATTTGCTTTGAAAAACAAAGTTATTAACAGCTGCACATAATGTTAGAGGGCGAACAAGTGCCATGATTTTTGGGCATTTGGAGCGACCCTTATTGATAATTGCCACAGTGGTTTGATTATCACAAGAGAATACAATGCGTTGTTTTTTCCACAAGTGACCACCTCAACTTCGGTGTTAGATCTGGTCTGGCTCTGCTCTGGCAGATAACTGTTTATGGTAATCGTAGAATTTTTGTCCGTACACATTAGATATTTCAACGATATTTCCTTTGTATCTATCTAGCTCTACCCTTCTTTCGGGAAATTTGGTACACATAATTCTTTAAAATTTATATAATATTTTTCAAATGCGGTTACAAATTCGCTAATGGTAAGGGTCTTGTGGAGGCGGGGGTCTACGGTCTCCAGAACATTGAGGCCCATATTGATTTCTGGCACAGACCTCGTATTTAGGGATGAGAAGACTTGCTAAATTGACATCTCTGCCTTCCCAAATTTTTCGCTTAAGGGAGTCTGATACGATATCTAATTGTGGTAGACATTCGGCAGAAACGCCGAATGGAATTGTGCGTAAGAACCCACCTATCGAAGTTCTCGAGATTGCGCAGAAGTGTAGTCGAATTCCTTGCAGTTTCTAGCGTGTACGTTTTCTCCTCATGATCCTTTTTGCAAGGACGGACACAGTCTTTTGCAGATCCTCTAAGTTCTTTTGAAGAGTCCGTAAAGTTGCCTGAATACTGTCGGACATTGGGGCCGCCATATTGGAAGATTGCTGGGCGGAAGTGCTTGTATCACTGCTCACACTCTGTGAACTGTCTCTGTTTACGAATGATTCTGCAAAAGTAATTAGTTCCCTTGCAATTGTGTTTGACCTCACATCGCTGATATCGGTTGAATTAGAATTTCATGAATGATCGGCGGCGAGATCTGTGTGTGCGTTGGGTTAACGTCATTAGAAGTTTGAATACTTCAGTTCTTGGAATTTTCGAGAAATAATTTCACCGTATTATTCCTGTCCATCGATGATGGAACTGAAATCCCAATATTTTCCAGTTCCGCTTTTAGCTTAGATAGAATCCAGTTATGCGGGTTAGACGAATCCAAAACATTTGCTCTATGGCGGGAACTGCCGCGTCTTTCGGCCATTGTCACTCAGTCACTTGCAGTGAGATCGCACTTCACAAAACACTATATTACACAATCATATTAGGCACAAATGCAGTTACAAAATGCTTCCCATAGTGAGAGGTAAATTAGTACACAGTAAAACGGCAAATGGTTGGAATAGAAGCATTTTTCACGTGGATAAGCTTAAGTGTAAATAATGACATGTACACAGATCAAATGACGCCAATCAAAAGACATAAACTATGATTAGAACTTGGATGGTGGAATCGTGGATTCCGGAGGTTGATTACCGACACAAACTTTGTTTATGCAAGTATAAACATTAATTTATATCAAAGCCAAAATGGCGGTACATTAATTTAACATACATACTGTTTATACGTACATGTACTTAGTATTGGTGCATCTTTTACAATCTACTTTCGCAATTTGTACAAATATGAGAATAATCTACTGAACTGCATTGCTACTTAACGAAAGAAATCAGAAGAAACATTCATAGATTAACCTAAAAAGAATACATCAGATGTTTAGCGTTTATCATTATGGCTTCAGCCAAAGCCAATGTGAAACATTTTTACGGATTATACATGTATATTTTGTGGACATAACCAGCACAATTTAATGAAGATTATTTTTAATAAATAAAACTTTATTTTGAAAAGCATTGTGAGTCGTATTGCTATGAAACTTTATTTCCTCGAAATACAATCTGTTTTAGTACGGAAGGAAGTTATACACTTCTTCCAAATAAAATATATCGTATATACAGTATCTCGTTGAATATATGTTGTCACAAAGAATGCATTCGGAATTACAAAAGAATTGACCTGGATGAGAGAACAATTTCCCGGAAAAAGTCAAATTTCAAAATCAATGTTCATAAATTATTTTCCACCGAATATATATTTAGATTTTTCAGTTTGCGTTTTGAACCTATAATTTATCATTAAGAATTTTAAATTTAACCCTCAAACGACATTTTCTCCTTTAAAGCACCTACGTTTATTTTTTCATGAATTTTGGCCTAGAAGTCTTTCAGGGCAGGCCTGTCCCCGAATAAAGTTATTTTGGTAAGAATAATTTTATGGGCATCCCTTTCCTTCGGTCTAAAATCAGGGAAAAAATTACAATTTATTAGGAAACTTGTTTTTTTCACCCTCCTTCCGAATGGTCTAAATTCGGATTCTACATCACTTTTTTCAGTAAAAGGGGTTTTCCAAATGTTTCCCACCAGTCACCCCGGTCATTAATCCATCTCTGTACTGTTAGATTTGTTACTGTAGTTTTGTAAGGATAAAAAGAAATGTTTGCATTTTGTTTATACTTAGGCAGTTTTTGAGGCTTTGTCTGCCACGGCAGTTTTTGTCCGCCAACTTTTCTGCTCATTGTTATTTTCTGGATACTGGATTTTTAATTTGGATATCATAAATGTAATTTGATACACTGGGGAGATTAACTTATGTTTTGTACAAATTAACATACAAGAAAACATTGATGTAACCATCAATTGTCGCCCTGGAAATAAATAAAGTAAACAGTGGAAATGAGTCTTGATCATCAAACCGCTTCGATAAGTGTGAAAAAGGCATACGTCTAAATGATGGAGACGATAGTCGAGAATATTTTGAAAACCTATAGTCGGATGAAAATCGAACAAAAACGATATCCTTTTAAACTTTATCAATTCCTCAAGTAAATGTTGGCTGCATAAAATATAAATTGAAACCAGACACATGCATCACCTATTTTCAAAAATGTCTATCACTTTAAGAATATAAAACACGAACTGTGTAAAGTACGTTTTTACGTTTTTATGCGATAAGTAAAATTCGATATTCTAAAAAAAGGGACCTGTCGTTTTTTCGATAGTAAATGCTAAGCAACTTTATATATAAAATATGAAAAGCATATATATTTTTACAGATTCACTTTATGGAAGTAAATATATTGTGTATCTCATAATTTATAAAGGGAAAGAACATTCTGATTAACAATCTTTTTAATGTTTAGAAAACCTTAAATTCTGAATAACTTCTCCCACCTCAATCCCCATATACCAACACTTAAACTTATATGTATAGAGCAGCCCGGTCCTCCGGGCTGCAATAACTTAATCCGTGATATATTGTGTAAGAGTGATCTCCCTTTTTATAATAAATGAAAATTCATCCATCAAACCTGATGTTTGTGTACTTATATTAAGCCCTTGGTGTGGATAATAAGACAGAAACATATTTTTTTTTCAAATAAGCAATGCAAGTTGCAAAACATTCATTTAAAATAACCGCTCTCAAAATCAGCAAGAAATAAGATTCTTTTTCTAGTGTTGGAAGTATATTTAGAAGAAAATTCTCAAAACATACCAGTATGATTATTCAATAAATTGGACCTTTTGCCATACATGTAATTACTCACTGAAATTTTCACGTCATCATATGCTTGGAATATTCAATGTATGTATCAATGTAGGTTTCAAATAATAGTTGTGAGCAATCACTGACTCCTACTTATTATTTCATTTTTGAAAACATACGATACTTCATATCCGTACAAAATTTATGAAAGTCCTGATACATGCATACCGTACATTATTTACATGTATAAGAACATATTATATTGAGTGTTAATTATTAATTCCCCAAAACGATATTTTATCATTGAAGAAATGTCACGCAATAATTTAAGCCATTAATTGCAATATATATATATATATATATATATATATATATATATATATATATATATATATATATATATATATATATATATATATATATATATATATATATATATATATATATATATATATATATATATATATATATATATATATATATATATATATATATATATATATATATATATATATATATATATATATATATTTAATAATATGTTTTATTTAAACTATTTTACATACAATTAATTATATTAATTGCTAATATGACATCTGATAAAATGTGACTGAGGTAAGAGTGATTACTATAAAAGTTATAATTTAAGACTAGTGCAAAAATTTTCAAGTTTATTGTACTGTTGCTCAGTAATATGCACATTTACTCCCAAATTTTCTTTCCAATTTTAAGTTGTGCTGTAAGAGCGGATATCTAAAATATACGCTACAAAATCCTTGATATAACCAGTGTCAGGAGGGACAAGTCGTACATGTATTTTATTTTCGCATCACGAAATTCCGTTAAAAGCGTTGTATATATTCTTGGGTCATTCAAGTAATATATAGAACTCTGCCATAATTTTTTTTTTTTAATTAGCGTCATATATATGACAAAATTTGGTAGAAATATTTAAAATTTTTCAAAAATAAATCCAAAGATTTTGAATAACAAAATCAAAGATACTATATTTGAAATTTATTAAGAGATTCAAATATAAAATGTGGGTTCAAGGAGCATGTCAAAATTAAGTAATGTTTCCGCAGTACACTATATAATGTATAGAGTAATAATCCTGTAAAATGGCGCTAAATAAAAATATATAGAAAATTAAACACTGAAAATTGAGTATGTTTACATCAATTCATATGCAAAAAGAGATGTTATAATGCTTCGTTGAACAAAAATCATTTGCAGAAGACAGTCTTCATTGAAGGGAGCAAAAAAAAAAAAAACCCCATGTCGTAGGATGTCACAGAGCAGCGAGTTGCACTTGAGAAAACTCCATAACAAACTCCGAAAATATTGAAGGAAGAAATGTTAGTCCAGCGTGTGTGTTTCAATGGCACAAGGATTTTTGGAATTTTAAAGACTATATTGGACAATGGAAGGCTTCCAAGGAAATGGATTTTCACTAAGAAACTGGTCAAAACCGTTAGTAACGTCATGGAAAGAGTGTGCACTTCATTGTTTAGGAAGTTGTGAAAGCAGGATTATACGGTATAAAAAATATATATGTTGACGAAATATTTTGATAATCAAATAATTGTGAGCAAACTACGAGAGAGTGGTATAACTCTTTTTTCAAGAATGGGTAAGGCGCCATAGACTAAGTGTGAAACGAGGAGGTGGCGTATTCTTATTGTGATGATTTTGTGTTTTGACGTTATATTGATAAGCGTGCTCCGTGGTGACAGAACATGTTGATTTTAAAATGATGTAACATGAATTTCATTTGATCGAATGAAACAAAACCGCTCACATCAAGAAATTTAATGTGGAAACAGACAATAATGTGTTGATCTTAAATTTCTTAAAAATAATACGATGAAGAGAGACATTTTCTGAATATTTTTTTTTTTTTTGAAAAACCCTCTTATGCAAGTAATTAATAGGATTGTTAAAGAACCCTCACTGCTCAATGGCCCTGAGTGCCGAGTATAGGTCTAAATGAAGCCCTTCAACGGCATACGGTGACATCTCTATATGAGTAAAAAATTCTCGAATGAGACGTTTAACACCTTACAATCAATCAACCATTCTACAATATTAGAAAGGTCGATATTATTCATAATCGGATAAGACAAGATCCTAGCAGTATGCATAGTAATAAAACGGGCGTTTTTCCAAGTCGGTTTAACTTTACTTAATGTAGGGAACTAGTCCCTGAAACATACATGCAACTTATGTAAACATTATTCTTTATATCATCTGTAGGGGGCTCCTTTAATTTGCACAGCATATTATCTTTAAGGTCCTTCCTCCTATCGGAAAAATGAAAAAAAAATCTCTACACCAAAGATCTACATA